ACAGCCATTCAGCTCCATTCTGTTGTTGTGCTAGATGTTTGTTTTGTGCTTAATTGTCTACCTCGTAGAATTTCCATTGTAGATGTATATTCCATTTGTAACATAAGTGAGAACTAATCGAAGAAACTAGAGCTAATTAATGCATATATGTGATCTTGTTGTTTATATTCTCTCCTTTTTCTCTTCGTTTATGCATTATCTTGATTCAAATTCAACATAATGAAATCTTATGTTAAATGAAAGTAAAGGAGGTCAGTTCTGTATTTTAATTGAGAAAAATAATTGCTAAATTGATTTAGCTCTGAGGGAGAAATGAAAAGCCTTTTTTGTTATGGCACATTATGTTCCAGATGCCTATTGTTCTGTGATAGAACATGTCCTCCAAAAACACCAGCAATGCCACAGAATATACCACAACACACAACCAGTCACTCACAATCAACAATAAAATGCCCAGTCTATTAATATCTGCACAGAACACTACAACTAGAACAATAATTCCAGTAGTCTTGCNCTCTGCTCCCAATTCTGTGTCCAAGTTAACCTTCGTTTCAAAACTTGAATGCTAACTCTCTTTCACAGTTTCAAGCTTGAGGACCAAAATTACCAAATAGCTATAAAGACGAATAGCACTACAGAAATCAATGTTGAGAATGAGAGAAGCTTTCTATAGGCAGAATTTGGCAGATATGGATATGTATCTGGTGGGGGTAGCATGCACTCATCACCATTGAAATATACTTTCCTTGGAAACGCCCATCCCTGCTTGAAAGTGAAAGTGTTTTTGTCCTTCTGAAGAAGCACTTCAGACTGAACATTTCCTAATGGCCCTGCTTCCATTAGCAGGTCATTATAGAATTTCATTCCATAGAACATTCCTGTGTCATCTGCATATTAAAAGTGACAGAATTGTTAAACCACTATCATTTAACAGATGTCCTGAAGTTTGAAGGATGCAAACAAAATTCTGGGAACTTACTTATAGATTCATAGGGAAGGAGAGGCTTGTAATTAAAGCTGAAAACTTGTGTCACATTGTTTAGATTCGGATGCTGGACGGCAAGACTCCACAGTGTATAGTTCATCCGATAGTTGAAATTTGTAATCGAAATCTTCACTCTCCAGTAGTCCTTGTAATTGAGCTTGACATGCCAGTGCACTCTCACAGGACACATGTGGTGCGTGCATTGTAACAATGGAGTGTTATCCTTTCTCGGTGTGTTTATTCCCACCATGTTCAGAATTTTCGAATCACTCCTGCATCACCATAATTCATCAGTCGAGTTAACCTGTCTTGCAGACTGATAAAGAGAAGTTGAATTGAAGATATTGAAGATAATGGCATACTTGACACAAGAATTTTTGTTCTGGCAACCGCATGCACAAGTAGGACAAGGAGTGATTGTTTCATTGTAGAAAGATGAGAAAGAGACACAACAACTTGGGTTTTTCCTGGCTAGAAACTGCGAATAAGTGCAGGTCACATTCCATGTCACTGTAGACAACACAACAACTAAGATGATTAGCCAGTGTAATTGAATCACTAGGATGAGATTTAAATCATGTAAAGCAACAGAACTTACTCAGGGCCTGAGTCTTTCGGCGGCGATCAGCTGTGAGGAAATTGGTGGAAGGAACAACTCTGGCTGGGCCACAAGTGTACCCTGGTCCTGGACCCAATAAAGTGAAGTTCTTGGGAAGTTTTACTGTCTTGTTTGAAGTACCAGCTAAGCCAACACTCACCTGGAAAGCTGAGATAGCAGATTCAGGATCTTGGCCCCATGATGACACAACTCCACCTTTGCAGCAGTTGGCGTATTGTTGATTGTAAGGGACACCAGGAAGCAAGTCCACAACTGTGGGATTCCTCTTGCAACAATGAGGAATGTTCCCTTTGAACTTGGAGCAGTCACCTTGTTCAGTGGTTTGCGCCCCCACCATCGACCATATCACTTCTTTCTTTGCCCATGTCCATCCTAAGGTCCAGCCAGGGCTTATGATGTGCCGGTACATTTGGAAATTGTGCATTGTTACCGTAGCCTGGAAAAGTTAATTTCACAACAAAATTTACAAATCTTAGCAAAATACTGCCAAGCTAAACTTAGATATCTTGATTATATGAGCTCATTGAACCATTTTGTTCAAGTATGATTTGAGACAGTACTCACCACATAACCATCCGCTGTCCAGGACATGATATCCCATTTAATTGTTATGTTTCCATTTGGATCCAAGGGATCATATGCAGCTGCAATATTCACAAAACAATAACAACATCAGATAAACATGCAAGGGAGAGGTAAGAGCCAAGTTAATCAAGAGTATAAAAATCTAGGAGAAAAACTGTACCTCCATAAGAAAATAGCATGAGAAAGAAGCAAGCTGAGATGATAAATCTCATCTCTGCTGCCATGTAATACCGTCGTTTAAACGATAATGGAATATATTAATCTGAAGCAACTATGGTAGAATTTGTTTGCAGATTTCTTGAATTTAAAGTCCTCACTTAGAGTTGTTTAGCAACGAAATGTAATGGGGTACAAGTGAATATGATGGGCTATATATGTTTGTGTACAAGAAAGCTAAGAGATTTGTACCAAATAAATCTTCTAGAGCCTAGAGATGGCTTACCTACTAGTTGTTACATACCTGTAAAATTTTCTTTCATCTCATTGCTTTGTGTCAGCTTCCCATATCTTGAAGCAATGACTTGTTGAGAATAACATGGAGACTTTAACTGTCATATGAGCACTACATCTCAGCGAAACTCCTGCTTGAAGGGGACACTGTCACACTGACAGGTTGAAAATTTGGCGGTTTACAGATTTCCTTCTATTAATCTATCTTTCCTTAAAGTTTTTCACTCATTTAATCATTAAGAATCACACGATTAAGGCAATTAAAGAAGGTGACACTACATTAAATTTTTTTCCTTATTTGATCATAGAAATATGCTTTTGAATTACTCCTCTGGACCTCTTCTTAATTTGGAATACATGGGAAGATGTCTTTCAAGAACTTCTTACAGAAACATGATGGTACTGAAGATCTTGTTTGGTAACATCTTTAAATGGGTTAATATCATATGATCTCAAAGTTGCCATCCATGGAGAAAGGGCATGATTCAGTTTGAATGAAAAGCAAACTGGTAGCTTCCTTGTAACTGTATGTAGATGTTGCCAACTAACTTAATTTCTAGTTTCTTGTATGAACAAAAGTAGGGTTTATTATTATTATTATTGTCCACGTTTATGTTGAGCGATGATGTGTAGGGAAAGAGTTGTAGAGAAGTAAACAGTGGTGTGGGACAAGTAGTGAGTCGCATTCTACTACAAAGACATTTCATCTCATTTCCAGCTAATTAATTGCCCCCATGCTTCTACACTCAAGTTCCTTACATAATCTTTTACATATATATATAATGTTCTTCTTGCAGTCTTTGGCGTTTGGTCTGGAAATCTCTTCGGTTTCTCACTCAAATAAGACTACGTACCTAAATATATTATTGCTTAAGTTCACATCATAGATTTTGTATAAGATTTCAGACAAAGGCCACATTGCATGCATAGTTATTTGATCGATTAAAGTCGTCTTAACTGTATCTCTGCAATTCTCACTCACATTTTCTCAATTCTATGTGGGATTTTTACCCAGGGAAGCTGATTTAAATAAATACAGGCTAACCTAATTTTCAAATTTAATTGGATTTAAAGTGAAGCAATGAATGTCTTCTCTTGTGTTGTGTGTGAACATTAAACAATACTAAAACAGATGATGCCCATATAATTTCTATTTTCCATACAGCTACGTGTATATGAGTATGACATTGCTTCGAGCTACTGCAAATAAAATAAAGATGATCAATTATCAGCTACCCCCTTCAAATGTTCATTCGTGTTTGAGCCTTGATGGTTATATGCTTGTATCTGCAAACGGATCCACTAGCCCAGCTAACTAGGGGCTGGACCTGACTGGCCTGGGTTGGGTTCAATTTATGTGAAAGATAACTGAACAGTGTTGTTTTTTCCTTTTTCTAAATATTAATTTGTCATATTTTCTAAGAGTAAACATCTTTTTCCCACCCAAGGTTGCCTGAATGACATTGTCACCCAAAAGGTTTCAAAATATCACTTTTCCACCCAAAGTTAATATTTTATTACTATCCGAAGTTGATTCCGTTGATGAAAACTCTCTCTTTACCACCATTTGAACCTCTGGTCTCCTCTCTACAAAACTTCTCTCATCCCGATACCTGATTTCTCATCGATTACCGACCAATGCAAAGTTATAGTTTTTTTTTCTTAGTTGATTTATGGTTGATTCCAATAATTAATATTCAATCGGTTACTACCATTCGACTTACGGGTCTCCACTCTACAAAACCCCTCTTGACTTGACTCCTAATAATTTTGTCGAACATCAATTAAGAAAGTGAAGTATATTTTGAGTATTAACAGAATATAAACTTTGGGTAAAGAAGTGGTATTTTGAAATTTTTTTGTGGGATAGCGTCATTAAAGCAAACCTTGGGTGGGAAAAAGTCGGTTACTCTATTTTTTAATCACCGTTGAAGAAATCAAGGTAACACATTGTTATGCAGTTGGGCCAGGGTGACTCTTGGAAAATTTGCAATAGTAACCTTAGAGAAGAATGTCATAATCTGAAGATACTTCTAACCAACTTCCTGATACAAATTTTCTTAGTCATTATCATTACCAAAGAAAGCTCTCTTATTGGATGAGTTCCAAGAGACTTTGAACATTCTTCTAATCAAGATAAAGCTAAAAACTTGTCAGCTGTTGCTTATCGGGTCTTTTGAAAAGTTACCGAAGTTAAATAAACAAGAGGCCAGGCCCCTGGTTTTGAGTTCAAGTCAAAGGTTTGATCCCTCTTGCAGCCCACTGAAAAAACCTTGGTCTTCCATCTCTGGCAGGCCTTTTCGCAAACGTTGTAATTATATATATACCCAACAGCACAAACATATAACGTACGGAGAAATTTTATATTATAAAGTCTGCTACCTTAATTCAGAAACAAGAAAACTTTGCCATGGGGCGTTGGATGAAGCCAGAGGTAAGCTTAGCAGTTAAACCCACTTAGTCTAATCAATGTTTATTTGATATTAAGTTCTAATTATAATGTTTATTTGGTGATGATTGAATCAGATTTATCCTCTCTTGGGCGCCATGACATTTGTGACCAGTATGTGCATCTTTCAGCTTACCAGAAACATGTTGTTAAATCCGGATGTCAAGTAAATAAATTCGTATACTTTTAAGTTAATTTTTGAAGCAGTTTTGAGCCGAAATTTGATTGACCCTTTTTTGTGATTTTGCAGAATAAACAAGGCTCATCGTACCATGGGAGTGCTTGAGAATCAAGAGGAAGGAGAAAAGTATGCAGAGCATGGCCTGCGAAAGTTCCTCAGAACCCGCCGTCCTGAAATTATGCCTTCAATAAATCACTTCTTCTCCGAAGATAAATGAATATTATGTTTATTATGGAACATTCTGGACAGTTTATCATCAACTTTGTAATATCATTGGTTTAACAAATCTTAGTTGTTTTGTTTCAAAGATTATAGTAATTAAAGTCCCGCAGTTTTATCCAATCCTGTTCTGTAAAAACATGTTCTATATAAGTGTTCCATTTCTAGCTGGCATGTAACTGTTCACAACTTGCCACCAATAATTCTCACGGTTCTAATCCCGTAACACTCTAGTATAATTATATACACAACAATAGAAGAACACAACTAAAATTTATATAAACTTCTGCCATAATCATGTAATTACAAGATAACTTCGCAATAATGGGGCGTTGTCTGAGACCAGAGGTAAACTTTTCAACTAAACTAAATATGAGTATGAGATGAAATGAAATGACCAAAAATTCATGCAATTTCTTTAATGTTGATCGGGTTTATCCACTCCTGGCTTGCTTAACCTTTCTAGCTGGCATTGGCATCTTTCAGATGGGAAGGGACATGGTGCTAAATCCTGAAGTTAGGTAATAAGTTTCCCAGAAATTAAAAAAAACAAAAAACCCATTGACGAAAATTGCTTTCAAGTTAATATCTGAAGGCTAAAATTGGGGGGAACCTTTTGTTATTTTTGCAGAGTGAACCAGACAAATCGTGGAACGGCAGTGCGAGAAAACCATGTAGAAGGTGAAAAGTACGCGGACCATAGATTCCGGAAGTTCCTTCGTAGTCGCCGTCCTGAAGTTATGCCTAATTTAAATCGCTTCTTCTCTAAAGATCAAAAGATAATTGATCACCATTTATGATAATTTTCTCAAAGAGCTTGACAAAATAAATACCATGTTTTTCTTTATGATATGTAATTTGACTCCTTTTTTTTACACGATTATTATGTAACTATGCAATTTGTTTCACATATCTTACTTCTTTCTAATAATATTTTCATTAATTACGTGTTTGATAATTATGCTAAAAACGCTTTTACTATAATTATTAATTAATGATTCAGGATTGAGTGTCATGTTATATTTAGATTCAATACTTCCCATGATATTTGATTTCCTCGTGTTAATTCTCCATCTCTGTTTGTTTGTAATGTAAGTTTAATGGAGTATCCTCAGTTTTCTGATCTCAGCTAATTAAAACTGAGAAAACCCTCCAATCATCTATTAATTTACATTTGGAAAATGAACCAATCTTTTTGCAACATGACTCCTTCTCGCTACCTCCTTCCCATTATACTTTCAGTTTTGTTCACCACTGCAGCTGCCGGCTGCAACAATGGAAAGTGCAAGGTTAGTGTCTTTCTCATCAAGTCATTTCAAACAAGGTAATGCATAAATTAATTTTCTTTAATTTTGAATGTAGCTGAAAGAGGAATGCTCGTCGGATGGAGATTGTGAGGGTGGACTCCATTGTATTTCTTGCTATGTAGAATATTATTCGAGTTCAATATGTGTAAGATCGAGCCTTACTCCCCATTACAAGCATGTAAATAACTCTCCATCTTCAGGAAACATTAATGATTCTTTTGATTAATGGAAGAATTAGATTCATGATTCTTTTGTTAATTTCATCGGTTTTTTATTATAGAATTATTCTAAACCTTTCAACAAGTATGCCTTCTTGACTACCCACAATTCTTATGCCATTGAAGGAGAGCCATCTCGCACAGGACATACTCGACTCACCCCGACTAATCAAGAAGATAGTATCACTAAACAGCTTAAAGTATATCGTACTATTTCAATTCTTTAGGGTCATTTTGGCTAGAAAAGAAAGAAAACTTATTATCAGAATTAATCGACTGATGTTCATGTTGTAGAATGGAGTTCGAGCCCTTATGTTAGACCCTTATGATTTCAGAGGAGATGTATGGTTGTGTCACGGACTTGAAGGAATATGCCAAAACTATACTGCATTTGTATGACAATTCTTTTCTTCCCTACTGATTTTAGACTAACTAATTAAGTATTATACATCCTCTCTAATTCCTCATATCTGCATCTGAAAGAAACCAGCAGTGGAAACATTGAAGGAGATTGAATCTTTTTTGTCGGCGAACAAGGAAGAAGTCGTGACATTGATGTTGGAAGATTATGTTAGAACCTCAGGTGCACTGAAAAAGGTTTTCAATGCTTCTGGGTTGATGAAATAATGGTTTCCGGTCTCGAAAATGCCTAAAGATGGTGGAGATTGGCCTTCAGTTAAGGAAATGATTGATAACAATGAAAGGCTGGTAGTCTTCTCTTCGAATAAATCGAAAGAAAAAAACGAAGGCATTGCATATCAGTGGAACTGCATGGTTGAAACAAAGTGTAAGAAACAATCAATCAAACCAGGTACAAATTTTTCTTCTTATGTTTCATTATTTATTAGTAACAGTTGTGAAATAAATTTTGCAGATGGGGAAGATGGAATATTGGAAGATGGTTGTCGTCACAGAGATGGATCATCTAAACTTAATGACAAGAACAAATCTTTGGTACTGTTAAATTACTTCATGAGTGTTGCTGTGAAGCATGCTGCATGTTCACAAAACTCAGGGGACCTTGAGGATAGGATTAAATCTTGTTATAATGCTGCTGGAAATAGATGGGCTAATTTTGTTGCAGTTGATTACTATAAGGTATCATTTCTTATAGAAACCAATAATCAGAGAAGCATTATTTCTAAACTAACTTGTGTTGCTGTGTGCAGAGAAGTGATGGTGGAGGACCTTTTAAGGCTGTTGATACTATAAATTCGAGGACGTAGAGATGATCAACTTCAAAAAAGGGCTGCACTTCATGCATCATAATCCGCAGAGAAATCAAATGTTTTTGAGACATGCAAATTAAAAGTATTATTTGATTGATTGATTCTATTTGTTTTTTCCATTTTTGTTTTGACATCATACATATGAAGAGTAATCACGTTTCATTTGATAAAATTTAAGGAGGGTCTGACTCGTCACCCAATAAGGTCTTATTGAATGGGAGGATTACTCTCTCTTATAAACCAGTAGGCTTGAACGTGTCTAATCGGTGTGGGACTTTAACACCATTGATAATTTAATTACTACACGATTAGTATTAGTAAATCTTATTCTCTAGTTTTTCATAATGGGACTTTAATTCATTTTTCAACATGCATTACAAAACATTCTTATTGTTAAAATCATAACCAAAACACACACAATAATAAAACAGAAAGGTAAAGAAGATAATCGATTTATCTTAGTTCGTTCCAATAAAGAAATCACATACAAGCAGGCACGTAGGCAGATACAAACATGTGGGTTCAATTAAACACACTCAACTTTTTAAAAAAATAAAAAAAAGTTTTTATGTTTTATGGAGTTTATAATTTTGACCCCACAAAATTATTAATTAACATTTTTTTTTTAATTTTTCTCTCTTTTCGTTTCCTCTCATTTTCTCTTGTATTGCCTTTTTCTTTTGGGTAGATACTCAAGAAAAGTTACTCCTTGTAATATATATTACAAGGTAAGATTACATTTTTTTTAACTTAAAATTCTTTTCTTTTAGCTTTCTTAATCGATGAAAGATAATGAGTTATGAGTTGTTGTTGAATTTAATAATTGGGCTTGAAACTGGAATATTAAATTCCTAGATTTTGATGTGGGTTTTGATTTAATCTTGTTTATGTTGAGGTATGGGTTAATTAGATGTTATTTTAAGTTGGGTTTGATAAATTTTGGTTAATTATTCAGTTAATTTTAAATGGTTTAAAGAATTGATGAAACCAAGTTGTAGAGATTTGGGGATTTGGTTTAATTTTAATAGATTGGTTAATTGCTTAATATTTAGAGTTAGATTTCATGAGTTTTTATGGGTTTATGAGTTGAATTTTATTGGATAGTATAAATTGTTTGAAAAGCTTAAGTTATAAGATTTGGGGCTTCCTTTTATAGTTGATGTTTTGACCCTACTGACTAAAAATCTGAGCTACGTCCCTACATACAAGCTACATCATTCAAATTGAAAAATTTTATTGAATATCAGAAATTTACATAATACAATAAATTTAATAAAATTAGTCTATTTGAATACTAGACATATTACTTTGCTAATTTTGGAAAGAGTAATGCTACAGTTACTAAAGGGTGTACACTGAATTTGTACACCGAATAACATGACGAAATCCTGATCGTTGATTCATTATAAGTTAATATTAATCAACGGTTAGAATTTTATTACGTTATTCGATACATAAATTTAGTGTGTAACTTTTAATAACCCTATCATTTTTCTTTTTCTTTTGGAAATCATAATGAAATTGGGCGGAATCGTAAACCTTTAGAAGAAGAATAGAAGTGGGCTAGCCAATAGGCCCAAATATCAAGAGTAATGCTGAATGACGTTTGATTTGAAGTTTGAACCACTCAAAGTCCTCTTCAAGCCCAACTGCCTTGTTTGACCTGGGCAATAATTTAAGACTCAAGACCTTAAATTATACTGCTTTCGGTATGTCTCCTTAATTTAGTTTAAAATTAAGAAGTTAGATTAATAATTATTCCGCATTTTCATTCATTTAATTAACTAGATGGGAAGACACGTTCAATTATCTCAAACGTGACATCAAAAGAATTGCAAAACTATTCCTAAGCATATTCAAAATTTAATAAAAATAACCTTAAGAGATTAGTCTGACGGTCAATAATATTTGTTTTATTCATTGATTTCTTGGGTTTGAATCACTTTGATATCATCTACCACATATGTGTGGTTTATCTTAAAACATTGAACTTATAAGGAATTTAATGAGTTTTAAAAATTAATTGAANATATCTATCTCTAAAGAGTTCATCTAGTTGGTTCTAGGCTTTTAAGTTGGAACCCTTTTGATTTTTAATGAGGTAAAGCTTCATTGGTCTTCTTTAATTAAAGTAAAAAGATACATAATAATCAGATTAAGCAGTCAAATTTAGTAGGTATATAGCTGTTGAACTCCAAGCACAGATTGCCATTATCAAGCTCTAGCGTGTAAGATAGAAAGTCTACCGTGTCATACTTATCTAGATAATTATATTGATTAATAAGATTACTTTGAATAGAAATAATCAAAAGAACTTTTTAAATGTGGTGGTGGGTTGAGTTTTAAATTATTCAAATGCATAGGTAGAA